AGTTGTCCTTGCATTTTTTTCGAACTATCTTGAAGAGGCAAACAGAATGTGACTCCATCGTGGTATACATTGATGTCAGGTAGAATATACTACGGGCACTTTTGGCCCTCGTCCACAGATCCAGACTCAGAAACACCAAAGTATAACGCTCACGAAGTATCATGTTAAATGCTGATACGAATGAGGGGTTGAGACCCCAAAAAAGAGTGGTATGTAGCTACGTGTCTCACGTCGGGTTGTACAAATCTCTTATACATATTGTAAAAAGTAAAAAAGCTACTCAGTAAAAAAACATAACTCTAACAATCTGCATTTTGAAGCAAAAGCGCAAGTTAGAACCTAGTTTCATATGTGGGTTGCATCTTCTGTGTCGGCGGTACACGCTCATCATCTGTGCGTTTATTGATTAACTAAATTTTTCTCTATGCTAGGTGCACGGCACCCCTTTGAATTTGGTAACAAATGGTGTTAATTCGATGACCTAGTCATAACAGACTGTATCGTGTGAGATTTCAGCATGAGCTGTTCGACGTCTGCCCACGGTATACCTAGACATTATTTGCTCGCTCATGTCTCGCGAGGGCTTCAAAGAAATAAGGCAATCGGCGGCTTAAGGGAGAAAGCGATAGTCACCCATTTGGAGGTATCCGTCAGCATAGGCAATGCGCTTGTGCCACATGGAAACGCCATATTGCACTATCGTCGAATGATATTTTCATCAATAAATGTCAAACAACATCTCAATACCTTTTGTGATGTGTTCGTACTGCACTTTACTCTGGCTTCATATGTTAGCTTTTTGCTCAGAAAGTTTTATAGCACAACAAGGATTCTTGCTTGTTTCGTTTTATTTGTCTTTCCTCACCACCAAACCTGACAGTTGAAAGGACGTTCATGGAGGACTCGTGAGTTTGAATCTAAACACATTTGCTGCCAAATTCTTTCGGTAACACGAGTTCATTTTACGATGATCATGTATCGGACTTGTTATGATTGGTTTCGGGTTCATTTTTCCCAGTATCTAGTCAAATGATGAATGAAAAATACGATGCAAAATATTTGGCTTCATGATGTCCGCTTAAACGTGCTAAGAACAATTTACTATTTGCTTCTTAGAACAAAGAAGACATATTGTCAAGCTAGATGATTATGCTTTAAGTCTACGATAGCTTATCGTTTGAAAAAAGAGAGCTCAAAGTAACACATTTGGTCAATAGCATTTTTAAGATACTTCCGGACAAATGACCTGATAAATCTTAGTAGTTGTACAAGTGGCGCTTGTCAATTCAGAAGAAGGCAATGTGCTAGATACGCACGTTGCCACATCATTTTGATGATTAGCTTGAGGTGAGATCAAGGTATGCTCGCCGTACGAAGGGACCAAACATTCAGAGTCAAGCACATTGATGCCTAATTTCTACTTCAAGGATGTCGACTTATTCTATATTCTGACGCCAGGATATTTTTTTGATCTGATAAAACCTGTAAATATTTGTAGAAAAACAACATTTGGTTTTAGCTATAACTTGAAGAACCCGACAAACACAATTGATGATAAAACAGGAAATCATTTCAAAAACAATCGTACCAAACGCTATGGACCGGATGATCGGCAGACCGACTGTAGGTTGCTCAAATTCGTTGCTTGAATTTCTTTCAGATTGTATTACCGACTTGTTGCATCCTACTCCGCGACTAGAAGATAAGCACAGCAAAATTGAAGATAGAGAATGTTGGCTACCACTGTTGCCTTTAATGTGTTACAAGATCACTTATGACTGCTGCAAATGTCATCCTAGCCTCAAGGAATTTCTAGACCTTCCAGTTTTCTTAGACATAGAAATAGTAATATAAGAAGGTCTGCCTCACTTAGGTTCAGCACTATCCTACGCACGGCGTACAGGAAGCGTAGCTGGGGACAAAAAGTGTAAATACAGTACTTCGGAGTGATTGTCTAAAGTTTCTGCCGTAACAACATCCTTGAAACGCGTTGCAAGCATAGTTCGGGCTCGATGCAATTCAGGCATCCGTTGCAGCCTGTGCGGATAATTTGGACTTGGTGAGTTTGAACTTTGTCGTTTGGTTGTCATCGGTCACATTTGTTCGAAATTAATTATGGCAAAATGCGAAGGATAATAGAATGAGGCTGTTTTTTCAATGGCCCATCGAGCAATTGAAGATATTGAACCCGGATCTGAACATGGTCGGATAGCTACCAGCATCCCGAGCTGTAGAATGCTTAATATAAGCGGGTAGGTTCGGTAGCATATCTTCTCTTTTATACAGTAGCTTAGATTGGATACCCGTATTATTTATGCGTTTTGGAAAAGCTGTGTCAATTGTCGGAAGCTAGGCTGTTGATCCCCACAACAGATCAGCTTTAGATAAATTGTCAGACCGAATGAGAGAATGAGATCATTTGAAGCTGGTTAAACGCTGAGGCGCTATTTTTTTATTGATGGGCGGATATTGAGCATATAGATTATGCTCATTAATGCGGTTCACACGTCGATAGGGCCACTCACTTTTCATCTAAACACGTCGAGGCCTTGTATAGTATCAACAACTCTTAATGTTTGTTAGAGCATTGCATGTGCTTTTATCCAGGTCTCTTGCGTGGCTGTTGTTACATTACGAAGCCAAACTATTGGATCGGCACGGGCTGGAGATAATTGTGTTTACTAATAATTATTTGCTAAGACTGTAAGACTATGTAGTCAGAAGTAATAAGTGAGACCAAGCTTCATTGGTTTTATGGATAATAATTAGCAGCTCACCCAATATTAATTGTGACTCACCCAAATTTGAAATGTTTTGAAGACCTGAGGCCAATAAAGTGCGATTTGTGAGCGCTAGGATCACGATCGCCTCGGTCTTAGTGATTTCATCAGCCGTGCTCCGCAAAATTAAGTTCGTTTGGACACGAGTGTTGGTTGCCTCACGCAATGCACTGATTGAAAATCTGCTGGCAAAGGTAATTACTTTAAAAATGTTGAGCAAGGGAGGGTCTTCGGCCTTTGGATCGATCATTTATGAGTTTAGCGATACAACCGTTTTGAGTCATAAGCGTACTCAATGCAAGGCGCCACGACGACTTGCTAATACTTGTTGTCACTCTGACTATCTGAGTTTCAAGAAGATTTGTGATGAAAAATATGAAATGACCATCGGGTCAACAGAACATGCAAAATAGATCCATACCTTTAGCTGACCCCGACGGAATAGCACAATTGGCAATTTATGGTCCGGAAGCGAATCATTAAATGCGAATTACAGCTTTGAATAACTAATGGTCGGTTGATGTTGACAGCGCACCAAAGAATATGGATTATAACTATCCATATTATGAGGAGATTGACTTTTCAAATGCTGAGCAAGGATTTAGTATCCGCAGATTTTAATCACTGAAATGACCAGACATCAATATCCTGCGTCTCCAAAGGTTTGACCCAACGAAAGAGAGGGGCACCTGCTTGGATAAATTAAATTTTAGATCGAGTTAGTTACCCTTTGGATCATCGTTCCAGGTATTGAGTGGCCGTGCGAAGCCCTGCCAGATCTGGGGCATCGTGTAGCTATGTGCAACGTACGACTGGTAAACAGCAAAAAATATGCGAAGGCAACGGGCATATCTAATCTCTGAATTCTATACCCGAGCAACTCGCAACGGGAAATTTGTTTCTACTAGCTGCAGCAACATACCTTCCATTTGAACTGTAACGGATCTTATCGATCTTCACGGGTCTAAAGCGAATGTCCCCGTGGCATGAGAGCTAAACGGCAGCTTGAAACGCTGTATCGTCTAAGATCTATATTCGACATGCAATTCCATCCTGGTTTTTCCTAGCTAAAATGCCACTAGCCAAAAAGCAAATACAGTCCAAAGATAGTAGCTGTTACGCACCTTTCACCAATAGTGAGAGCTTAACCCACCATCAATAGAGTGTGAATGAGATTTTGGCGTGTGCACAAAACTACCCGAGCGCTGGTGCAGGAAAATCAAACAATGATACTGCTGCAGGTTTCGAGCAAAATTTGAAAGTCTAGGGGGCAACGAGAGTCATTCACTCAATGTTTACCCGGTTGAGACACGCAAAACGTGATTTGACCGGAATTTCCGGCGTATGCTTCTGTTGGGACGGAGTAAGTTTACGAGTCGCGGTCAATTGCAAAAGTCATTTCTTTGGAAGAATTTGCTGCAGAGCAACACCCGACTTAGTACGCGCATACTACCAGTTATACACAAAAGTAAGTGTTTCTTTTCTCACTTCACTAAATTAATCTAGTAGGACGCTCTAAGAAAGGCTCGTGTTACGCAGTATGTTGGTTCCCGGAGTTAGGTCGATCTCATGACGCACACCTCGGTCCAGAGGTAGGACCGACGGCGGTTCTTTGGAGACGTCGTCTTGAAATTCCTTTACCAAAGAATAGTCCAGATCCGAGAGGTCCTTTTGGATCGACGATCCACTTCGGGCGTTCAGTACCCTATTGGTGTCCTGCAGGATAGCTTCATCCAAATGCGACGTATTTAGATCCAGATGTTGTTCAAGCACCAGCAGCATTCAGTAGTTTGTAAACACAGCGCATAGACAATTTGCGGCGACATATTCGTCCGGATTCGTGTAAAGCAAGGAAAGCGGTTGTCGGTGGCTGAACTGAACACTTGCAAGCTTGCTCAACGTTTGCATTTCAAGAGTGATTTACCAAATTAGCTATATCCTTTATTACAAGCGGCAAAATGACTATCCCGTCGAGTTTTCCTGTGAGGTAAGGCGGAGCCCGGTCAGCCAAATTTGGTGGTGGACGCAACCAGACTATTATCCATCTTATATCGCATCGTCACTATTTTTCTTAAGTCAGCCATTGGACCCTCGGCCTTTGGCGTCGTCCCTATGCAGTCTACAAGAAATCCCTTGTTTGAAGATCTTGCACTGACGTATTGGTTGAGTCATGGGACAAAACGAACTGTTGTGTTTTCAAGGATATCTGGCGTAAGCATCGTACTATCGTCCCAGTTCTTCATATTTTTATGCAATTCTGTTAAATGAAGCAGATAAAGTAAGTAAGTAAACGTGTTCTCGCGTTCATTACTCTAGGGTCAGTTTGCTAAGCCTCTTTGCTAG